AACTATAATAAAGTAAAAATAAAAATCATCAAGCAACTATAGACCAGAGACATTCTGTAGGGGAGGAGGAGAGAGAAGGACCAGGACAGGAATGGGAAGCACACGAGGGGCTATGGTGATGGTGCACAGTGTGAGAATTTCACAGGGGAGCCATAATTGTAGAAATATGAAGGCCGATATAATGAATATATTTTTAAAATTAAAAAAAAAGTCCTCCATGAAAAACAAATAATGGTCAATAGATGATTATTTTTCAACTAAATTTAGTGTTAGCAATGAACACTAAATGTAGAGGGTGTTAGAATTCCCCCTCAATAAAAAGTAAAATAAACGGTATTAATGCTCCCCTCCCCCCCAAAAGAAAATATTTTCGTAGATATGGCACCTGTGTTTTTCACATTCCACACCAGCATTCGATGACTTTTCTGGTTTTATTTGTTGGTTGGTTTTTTAGGACACTTACAAGAGTCTCCTGGCTGCAGCAAAGGGGTAGAGGCGAGAACCACCACCATTTCATCCTGCCCCATGGATTGCTGTCTGTGTCCTCAGTAAGTGCGCACTTGCTAAATTTTTGAGAAGAGGGAACTAAGCCTCTAAGAGTTAACAGCATTTGTGTAACTTTCTACAGTTACTCTGTGATGGATCTTAATGTTCAAACAAAGGACACCATTATTTCAATGCTCTAAAGCTACTCCCAGCTTCCTCCCAGGCTAGGGTTTTGTTTTTGTTTTTTAAATCAATGCAGTGCTTCTGGCAAGACCACGGGGCAGAAGAAACACTTCTCTCACTTGTCTCAAAGTCAGTGTGCTCATCTTCAGTGTGGAAGCTGCAGCGAGAAACCTCTCCAGACTCCCTGCGGTGCCCATGAAACCTGTGTATGGAGACACACTACCTGTAGGTATCCCCTGCGGGCTCCATCAGCTGTCGTGCTTGCGAGAGAACACAGGGTAGGGTTAGAGCTACATCCGAAGGGTTATGGACATCTGCATTCCTAACAAGTGCACTTATAATAGCTCCAAATGGAAAACCATCCATATGACCTGAAGTAGGAGAATGGTTATATAAATTAGGGACACTCATATAATGAAATATTATTGCCATTAAAAATCATATCTGCTAAGACAATTACATCTAATGCATGTTTCTATGTTATTCCTGGAAGCTGAAGGACTAAAACATAGCTATAAAGCACATTCCAAGGCTAATTGGAAAAATTTTAATGTGACTTATCTATTAGGTAATATCCAGTAGTATCATTTACTAAATATAAATTTTAGAAGTGATAAATGCAACTCAACAAAATGTGTTAATTCTTAGAAGATACATGCCCATGTATTTAGGTTTTTAAGAAATACCTAAAGATCAAAGTTCAGTGTAATATTTAGGTAATGTTCATTATGCTTAAAATATACCTCAGATAGCTCCAGTCACAAAGTGACTAGAAAGATACACAGCAAATATACTAGAAAGATATACAGCAAAATATAAGTACTTCTAGGGTAATGAGATTGAATACAATTTTTATTTTATCCTTTGCATAGTTTAGTATTGTGTTTTCTATTATGACTTCTATTGTTATCTCATCCCTACCTCTCCAAGGAATGTACAAAGGAAGAAATTCCAGACTGGGCATATTTTTGGCTTCCATTAGTTAATAAGAGGGATTTCTAAGGTAATTCAAAGTAAGATAAGACCCCAATTTGTTGAGTACAGTAGGTCAGTTGTATTATGAGGGGAGAGGGAATGAGAGTGGGAAGGTAAATCATGACTTCATCTGAAGTTAATGGGGTTTAATAAGTAAATCAGTTTCAAGGCAAGATACATATAATATTTTATTTTTAAGCCACTTGAAGACAAAGAAAAATTTAAAAACCAAGTCCTTCCAGCCAGGACTAAACGTGCTCCTCTCCTCTAGCCAATTGCAGGGCAGCAAAGAAGGAAACCATTCGGTTCTGGAAGCCTTTTCTTACTGTCAACTGAACTAGAGGCTACTTGTGACTTGCTTTAACCTTTGGGAATTTGGTCAAGATAGAAAATAGAGATTTGGGAAGGAAAGAGGCTAATGAAGGGGAGGGGGGCTGTCAGGGGCTAAATTGAGTAATGTTGGCAGTTACCATGGTGGGTATTATACATATTCAAGAAAATGTCTTTGTTGAATGTTAAGGGGACAAGATGGTGAGACTGAGGCCCTTGCACAGTGCAAGAGGATGCGATTTTTTATTTAAAGATTTTATTTATTTGTGCATACAGAACTGGGGTACAGGCCAGAAGTGCAGGGGCGGTGAGAGGCTTCACCAGAGACAGAGTGGGGAGCAGAAAAGGCAGATCAATGAAGCAGCGGGCAGGTCAGGAGAGGTCTGCCGCGCCATGCGATCACCTCCGGGGCAGGCGGGAATTGAACTCATGCTGAAGTGGCTTTAGCTTCTTAGTGCTGTGCTTTAATCCTCTGCGCCACCAGGGAGGATGCAATTTTAAGTGAAGGAGCACACCCCTCAAACTGCATGCTCACTGCTCTCATTCCTGTTTTAACCCCACATCTGTTTTACTTGGAGTTCATATATAGACACTTTAGGTGAAATTTTTCATGCAGCTCTTTCATGGTTGTTTGTGCAAGTCCAGAACAATGAGTAGTAAGAATTCAGTTTTCCCCATATAACTATCAGTGGCAAGTCTAGTGCAGAAAATGCTGCAACAAAGATCCATTCAGGATGATTTGGCTGCATAAATAAAAACAGGATTTTAGTTTGTTTGTTTGTTTTTCAACAGTTCTACAGGGGGAAAGGAAAGCAAAATTGGGTCTGGTTTGTTGTACAAATAAGCGTCACGTGCACTGGTCAAATGCACTACATTTATGTCCCTTTACCATTAAAAAAAAACTTTAATAATTGAGAAAGGTGTATCTCAAATAATTTTGATGTTTGCTCTTTATGATTTATAATTCTTTACTTAGATTTTTGAGGTGCTAAATCAAGAAAACTTTGTGAGATCAAAATTTGGAAATCACCACAAATCATCTAAAGAGAAAGCATTTGGTTTCCCTCTTCTACAGCTCTCTGATGCTGTGTGTGTAGTGTCAGGGAGAAAAACACAAATGAAAGACACAAAGAATTTACTGACCTTCTTCTATGATTTTAGATTCTAATGAATAGGTTCAATTACCAATTTTCTCCCAACCTTGATTCCAATTTACAGACAAAATAGGTGAAAAGCCATCTACTTTCAAATTATGTTTATTGAGGTAGAGTTGGTTACACTGTTGTGTTGGTTTAAACCTCTACAAATATGTGTCCATGTGCCTATGACCAGTGTCCTAATAATCCTTCACCATGTTCCACTTGGCTTCTTCCCTTCCACCCCTATCCTGCCACCCTCTTCTCTTCCGATTGTCTCAGATTTGTAGTCAGATCCAAGGGTTTATTATTGGTTTGGTTTTGGCTGATCCTGGGCTTTGTTTTTCTGTGTTCCGCATATAGGCAGGGCCAGCCTGTATGTTATTTTGCGTAGCATTAACCTCTCTAGCTCTAGCTGCATGCATTCCTAACTGGCACACGCAAAAATATTTATCACTATTTAGCATCATCTCATCAAAAGCGCAATAAGGGACCATCTCACACCCATGAGAATGCCCATATAAATAAGACCAGAATCAAGTGTTGGTGAGGACATGGAGCAAAAGGACCTTCTACTGTTAGTGGAAATGTAGACAGTTCCAGTTCCTGTGGAAAATAATATAGAGGTTCCTTAAAATGTTAAAAATAGATCTATCACATGACTCAGCAATTCCACTCCCAGGTACCTATGTGAAGAATACTGAAAAACCAATTCAGAGAGATATTAGATATGCTGTATATATTACATTCTCATATAGTATTTACTCCTGTGTTCACTCTATTTACATTAAGTTATTGTGCCTAAGGACAGAGAAGTGGGTAAACTTAATAAAGTTGCAGTCATGTGCAGGTTAAATTCTGTCACATCTCTTGATTAGCACTGACGTATTGGAGGATTGACCTCTATAATTGGTGACATTACACGATGTAAGCAAGAAATAAATTTTAAAAAAAGAAGAAGAAAGAAAAAAGCCTGCAAAGACAGAACTCTAAGAACAGGGAACATTGGAGAAGAACTCCAACAAAACATGATCTGAGGTCAACCCAAAGAAATTCCTCTCTTCCTCTCGGTCACCCTCTCTTTCTCACAAACCCCAAGATGTTGGTATAGCAAGTAAACTTGTTCCTTTCAGGGACTGAAGTCCTTCTGCTCATAGTAAATAGCAAAAAGTGCAGAGAATAATAACCCAGTAAAATCACTTAGCACCCACAGCCATGATACATTTATTCAATAGATATTTTGTTCTGACATCTTTGAACATCCTGCTGAAGGTCCAAGCTCCTTGTGATTATAATAACAAATCACATGATGACATTCACACAAATATTTGCAGCATTCTGAACATCAAGCCCTTCCTGATTACAAATTCACTAAACGTGTGAGAAAGGAAGCAACTTTTCTGAGAAAGGTGAATCTTGAGACTTTCTCACAAACCCTGCAAAGTAAAACCCGTGCCTCTGGCCCCCAGAAGGGTGTAGATTGTCCAGCAAGCAGAACTCTGCACATGGGACACACTCAGCAGAGTTTTTTGGAATCAAATAAATACACTTGGAAAAAATGACATGTATTTATAGCACTAATCTATGATGTTGGGGTTGGGAATAATAGGGGCTATTTCTATTTCTAGAAGTTGAGTGACCAGTACATATATCGGGCAGCCTAGATAATGGATTTACTTAAAGACGCTGACTATGATCATTTTTCTCCTATTGGTGTTGAAAGTTGATTGATTTGGCTGTTCACTGCAGGCTCAAATTACTAGAAGCTCCTTGGGCGATTTTTCTTTCCGATCCCCTGATGTTAATACTGTCAACGCATTAATCATCGTAATTAATAGTCATCTATAGGTTTTAGACCTCCAGCCTCAACGAAGGCTCCGGGCATCTTCCTCAAGCATGGCTGATCAGTGAGCAGATGGTGAGAGGGCCCGTGTTTGTCCCTTCATTTGGGAGGCAAGGGGAAAAGATGGGCCTAAGAGCCTCTTGGAATGAGGTGGGAGGGAAGCTGTAGATGAGAGACTCATCGGTCACATTGTAGAAGGCTATGTGTCCACATTCATAGTCTAAGAAAACACCAACTTTGTGCACAGGCTCTCGGACATGTTGACCTTTTAAAGGTGATGAGACCCAAAGACTATAATCGTCTCCAATTTTTAAGCCAATCAGTGAGAAGAGGTCCCCGGGCGGCTTCGGGAGGTTCCCCTTCCGGCTCAGCGAGTCCTTGCAGACGCCCACTTCCCACTCAGTCTTGTTTCCCACGTCCACCTCCCAGTAGTGCCTCCCGCAGGTGAAGGCCTGAGCTCCCAAAACCGTTGCGGACTGGTCAAATCGTTCCGGGTTGTCAGGTAACTGCTGTCGGATTCCGCCATGTCTCACACTCCTCAGGTCCTCAGACAAGACTAGGTAGGCATTGGCTGTGGCTGGATCCAGACTTATGTCTGCTGCAGGAAGAGACAAGGATGAATTCTGTGCAGTCTCAGAAACCCTCTTACATATATGGAGTGTAGAGATTTAGTATTCAGTTTGATTTTTTTATGACATAATTTGAGTACAGTGGGATTTTTGTTTTATTTACAGCAGAATCTCTAGCCCTTGGGTCATTGTTTTGCCACACAGAGGGTGAACTTGTTTTTTAGATTAAAGCTTGTTTTTTTTTAATTCTGAATGTTTGGGATTTAGAAAACAAAATGAAAAGGTTTTTTGTAATAGTAATATTAATGAAAACATACACAAAATTGGAGAAAGAGTATACCCCAGATAGTGAACTTCTAAAAGGAAAGAGAAGAAGGCCTCCCTGGTAGCCTAGGGCTTACGGCTCAGTGCTATCACTACCACTGCCTGAGTTTCATCCCCAGTCAAGGAGCTAACTCACATAAGGTGTAGCAGACCACGCCAGTCTCACCCACTGCTCCCCTCAGCAGTGTATTTCAGTACATCTAACTATTCTGATCCCCATTCTTGTCGCTGTTGAATCCTCTAACCCTCTACACCTCTGGCCAAAACCCAGTTCTTCTATGCAAGGGAAAAAAAAAAAAACTTTAAAAAAAGGATACAGAAAAGAATTGTGTGGGGAGTGAGCTTGAGCCTGGAGAGGAGGCAGGGGAATCTCAGATAATGGAAATTGTTCTGTTTACAAGCCCATTTAGAACTCAGCGATTTATCCACTCAGGGAGTAGCCTTTGCTGTTTACATTCAAGATTGGTTCTGGTTCTTCAGCTTGAGTGGGAGTCGGCAGTTACCATTTACTGAAATGCTTTGGTATCAAGTATTTTCTGTAAATTATCTCATTTAATCATGTCAGGCATTATTTTTTTAAAAAAGAAAACAGGTTCAGAAAGATGTCAAAAGATGACTAAGATGTCAGAGTTACTGACTATCTGAGTAGCAATTTGTAATCAGTCTTTTGCATGATGTCTTGGCTGATGAAGCCACCAGTGACTTGATGAAGGGTTGTGGGCCAATGAGACCCTCCTCACCCATCCACCTAAGAGGACATCACAGACAAAGCCGCCAACTTTCATTTCCTTTCTGTGTGAGATGACGTATCCCTAGCATATAATTTCATGGCTTTTTAAAAAAGACCAATTTCCTACTATAACTAATTGTCTGTGTGAATAATGTTTCTTGAATTTGTTGAAAAGATCCACAAATGCAAAGACAGTATCGTCACTGTAAATATATGCACAGTGCCTAATAAAATAACACCACACACACTAACAGCCACTTTTCAAGTATCTCTTGAATCCAAAGTCCATTAGACCTTCCACTGTATACTTGACTGCCGAAAAGATAAAAGTTGAGAACTAAAGTTGACCTGTCATTCAAAGGATAATTCTTTGAGTTCTCTCTCTGGGACTTAAGAGTTCAAGTCAGTTTTTATCTTGACAAGAACAGAGGTAGAAATGCAGAAACCCCTGCAGGAGGTGTGTGTGTGTGTGTGTGTGTGTGTGTAAAAGAGAGAGAAAAATAATACAGAATAAAATCACATATCAAAGACCAGGGCTCTTTAGACAGAAAGCAATGCCAGATCAAAGGTCAGTCAACCCACTGCTTGCTTCTGCTCCAGCACAGGGCGGGCCAGGCCTGAGCCTTCCCTGGTGTTCAGTGCTGGCTCAAAATACCTTAACTGAGAGCCTGACACCTGGCTGGTATATATTCTATGTTATGAAAACCTGCCAAAGGCACAGTTTTGCATCCTGATATACAGTGTTGTTAATGCTGGAAATCCCCGAAGCTGTGACAGATGGGGCTGACTTACTGCTAAATTTTCTTAGCATCTCCCTCATTCCAGTGATGCGGCACAGACTCAGTCTTGTGGTGGTGGCCTCCGGACACTGAAGCAAGAGGGCTTCACTCCTGCAAGAAGCAAAAACTGTCACTGTCTCCTCACACCGATGGCATAGCTTGCTCTGGTGCTGGGGTCCTCCTCATTTTCCCCAATAGTGTGGACACACTCTCATCACCACCTGATTACCAGTTTTGTCAGCACCACATCCCCGAGTCTTGCAGAATTAGACACAGACTGCAAACCTACCTTTCCAGTGTTCCTCGCACATCCTAAGGATGTAAAAAAAAAAAAAAAAAATTAGCATTTGTGTGTTTTTTTCCGGTGAGCAAAGACTGATGCCATTTTGGGTAGGATCCTTTGCAAATTTCATAAAACCTGCTTCCTGTGGCTTTGGAACACTTTGATTGGGTGAACAAATCCAGGGGGGAAATCCCAACTCCATCTAGGAATGGGCTCTTGTACACATGGGGTATTTCTCACAATGACTGGATTCTACTTTGTCTTTTTCTCATATCATCACTTGTCGAGAGCACTTGTTGCTGACAAAGTTACCAAATGCTGTTCTGATTGGCCAGTGTCTTGGGAATCAAGAGGTAAAGAAGCAAAGGAAAGTGGTCCAGGGAGAGAGGACGCTCAGCCCGCATCAGGCTGTAGCGTGTTGTTTGGATGGTACTATAATCAATTTTCGATCCAGGAAAGAGACCTGATGTCTTCCGTTTCAGACAGTCTGGGGAAGGCAGTAGAAGGCAGGAAAGCAAAGACAGAGGAATATGGGCTCCAACACAGAACGTCTGGGTGCTTCCACCTGCTAGCTATTTGATAAGTAAATTTCCTAACCCGTAGTTAGGAAAAGAAGTGTTACACAGAAATCCATTTTGTAGATAACAGTCACCAGTAAAAGATATCATGACAGTATTTAAACTCATCAGGTGTTTGTGAAGATTAGTTTATGTGCCCAGCACACTGAATGCTAAACTTGTAATTGAAAAAGTTGAGATTGCAGAAAGGAAAGACCAACAAAAACTGAGGTCATCGTTTGGTGGAAATAGGTGTTCCTGGGTTTGTTTGTTTGTTTGTTTTTCTCTGTCTCTTCAAGATGTTCCTAATGAACTACAGAATGTTCATTATTTAGGAAAGCTACTTTGAGGCCAGAATTCAGTTTTTTTGATATATAAAAAAATTATTTCATAGGACTTGAATCTCATCAGTTACTTTATGTATTATTTCTATGAATCTCCCCACTAATCTTACCTCTAAAGATTCTACGATGGAGTTCTGACATGTGGACTCTATCTGTTCAATCAGCTTGGTTAGACTTCTTATTTGCTGGGTCAACTTGAGCTCATTGTCCCTTAGTTTCTTCATGTTTTCTCGTTCCTCCTTTTCCAGTAACTGGAGCTGTATCTGCTCCTCCTCCTTCAGGAACTGGTGCATTTTTATATATTCTGATACCACGGCCTGTTTACAAGTCTTTGTCTCTTCCTGCCATCACACATATTTGTGTACACACACACATACACACACACACAACAGGACAAAGTCAGTAACAGAAATACCTGTACACATTTTTAACTTTTTCAAAGTTCCACCATGACAACTCTTGAAACCTGACACATGACATGTTTTATTAACAAGCTGTGTGGATAGTTTGGATCAGTCAGTCAAGCAATCAGACCAGTACTGACCAGTACTTTGAAGAAGAGTAAAGCAAAATAATATGTGGACAAAAATTATGAAGGTCTCTTTGTTCAGCAAAAGTCAGCACTGGGACCTTCCCTGCTGGAACAGTGGGTTAAAGTGCAGCACTGCGAGGCTGACTGCATCTGCTTCACCATGAGTTCGATCCCCAGCCCTGCCCCAGAGGTGACCCACATGGTGCAGCAGACCTCTCCTATCTCACCAGCTGCTCCCCTCAGCAGTGTATTTCAGTTGATCTGCCTGTTTTGCTCCCCACTTTCTCTGGTGAATCCTGTCACCACCCCTGCACCTCTGGCCTATACTCCAGTCCTACATGCATAAAAAAATAAATCTTTAAAAAAAAAGTCAGCAAAAAAAAGTCAGCACCGGATAACACTAGGGGTAGACAGACATGCCACAGGTACTCTCATTAGGAATTCTATGTTTTAGATAATCAAATAAATACATTTTAAAATGTCTAAATAAGTATTTATTTCATAGCTAGACAACTCAACTGCCCACCTATGAGTAACCTTGAACATTTGTATATGTGTATCAATTCAAGTAGCTGTTTAGTCTCCCTCTTTTCCCCTTGGAAGTATGAGATATTTTTCTTGATTTCTCTCCTATGCCTATGAATGTACATCTATATATGTAACTTGTATTTTAAAATAACAATCAGAGCTCTATAGAGGTAGTGATGGAGTTGTATAGCAAGCAGGAAACAGCAAGACAGGCTGTGAAAAGGCGATTCCACAAGCTGAGACTAGAGGTTCACAGGTCGACAGAAGACGACCATGCAATGTCAGGCCACCGCTGGGAGTAGGTCTGGGCTGGAAACAGTACCTTCGCTCCCTGATAATTCACGCAGCAACCCTGCAGCCCCTCACAGAATCACATACAAGATGTAAAATACACAACAGATACTTACTGTGCACAGTATCACTCTCTCCTTCTCATGGGTTAATATAAGCTGAGTTTCATTTTTCTTTTTATGCAAAAGATGTAGGGTTTCCTGCAGCTTCTCCTGCAATAGAAACAAACTCACTGTGGCAAATGTACAGAGCACCAGGTCATGCAGCGGCCCTGAAGACCAACAACCAGTTGGCTGGGGCCCTAAACCAACGGGCGAGGCAGGGTGCACACCGAGTTTGTAGTCTGATGCCTGGACATCAGCACCAAAAGCATCAGTGATGCCGAGTATTGTGGGAGTTCAGTGATGAACCAGATTTGTGCTGAGGTTGATAGTGAGCAGCCAATCTTACTTTGTGGTGCTCCCCAGCCTCACTGGACAGATACACTCTGTTTCCTCCATGACCTTGAGTTGAAAAAGCGTTTACACCCTGCTCATCCTCAGACAACAGCTTAGCGGTTGCCAGCATTCTCTTAAGCTCGCCCTCACTCTGCAGCACCTGGCGTCTGAGTTGCTTGCCGATGCCAGCCAGCCTTCCCAGACGCTCATTGGGCTGGAAATGTGGTGTCTCCAACGTCCTCCAGCACTCTGGACAAGACAAAGGATTGCTATGCTCCTCCCAGCTCTTCAGGAGACACACCAGACAAAAGCTATGCCCACACTCAGTGGTCACTGGGTTGGTGAAATAGTCCAAGCAGATGAAACAGGTCAGTTCTTCCCTGAGATTCTCCATCAAATCTGCTGTAGACATTTTCTCAAAGAAGGACATTATGGCAAAGTCACCCTTCTCTTCCAGGGTTAGAAAAGTCCTCCCTGAGGTTCTGTTGTGTTGAGTAACAAATGGGTGTTCAGTGGCTATGTTGTTATATCAAGAAACTCTTAATCTCCCCTGAGACTGATTTCACCAGTGAACCTACTCAGCCACCACAAAGCCAATTGTGACTTAATGTGGAACCCTCTACACGGAGCTCATCATCAACCCTAAACTTTTAAGGAATCACTCACTGTGCGTGTCATATGCCCGACATAAAGGGTATTTCTGATGGAGTTCTCATTTCAAGAGTTTGTTAGTGTATAAATTACGATATTTGGATGGGTTATTTTGAGTCTGGAAGTGTGGGTAATTGGCTGTCCACTTCTACACTTTTAAATTGTGGTGATCTCTGATAACGTCTGAATTGGAATAGGATCCAAATCTTTTAGAAAATGTTGCTAATAAAATTTAGTTGAGAAACTTGAAGGAAAAAAAAAACTACAATTTACACACCTTCTCTCTTTAGACCCTGAGTTTAGCAAAATTCTGAAAAGTTCTTGCTCCTCTGTCAGGTACTACGTCCTTTTATTTCATTTTAGTCATCCCTATAAATGAGAACAGTTCCATTGACGTATTCCTTGACTTTAGATGTACAGTGAATCACCAGATTTATAGATGTTGCTGTCCCCTGAAGAACACCTCTTTGCCACCACAGAAAGCATCTAAGGCATCATTCTTGTTGGAAGCTGCCTCAAAAGCCATGCACTATGGAGTAGGTGAAAGAATGATATTTCAGTTTAAATATATTTCAGTATAAATATATATTTCCTTTTTACTCTTAAACCTCTTATCAGTTTCTACTGGATAGAAACCAAATGTGCAGCCATTATTTTTAGACCTATAAAAAAATTAATGTATCCCATGCAGACTGTGTACAAAGACTACTGAGATTAGTGCCAAATCCTATCAATTTGCCATGCCAGATCCTCAGACATCAGTCTTCATCATTGCCTGCCCACCCCTCATGGATGCCAGAATATGGGACCTTAAAAGCTCTTCCTCAGAGTCTGACCAGTTCCACCCTCCCATTAAGTTCATTGTACCTTATTTCTATTGTTTCCTGTCATTCTCTGGCTTGGCAATCTTCCATGGACCTCCATTACCCAGGTCATTCCATTAATTCCTTTCTGATATTCATGGTCCTGACCAACCCTTCTCCCTACTTGTCTCTAACAGGAGATTGGGTGTTTCCTTATCTTGACTTTTGGCAAAAGAACTATTTTGGCCTGAAGTTGCTCTCATTTAACCTTCTTTCCTCTTAGTCAAACATATCTTTTTGCAGTCACTAATTCAAAATGTTTTAATCTTATGTCCTTTGTTATAGTACTTGTGAAGTAGTAGAATGAGAATTTATGCTCAGAAGAGGAAGAAGCAAAGATTTATACTAATTTAAAGAGGAAGAGTGGCCACATCAGTTTGGTGTCAGGAAATCTCTTCTGCTTAAAGTGTTTCTAGGCTAGTAACTGGAACACTGTGAAATACTGCCAGGAATTAGTCATAAATAAGGGTCTTGCAAAATAATACCACAGCCTGCCATTACTGGGGAAAGAAAAGAATTTATGAACTACCAGCTACAGTCAGTGTGTTATTATCACACAAACCCAGACAGTGTCTTTCATTTTGACCAACGTCATTAGAAGAAGCCTTAGAACAGAGCTACGGCATATCACACAGACTCTATTCTGACCTAGAAGGAGGAGACTAGTTCATTCTAAGTTCCAATGACACTGGTAGGTTCCATTCCCATTCCCTCTTCCAAATAAATGTTCATAAACTTTTAATATAATAAACATACCTCATTGCTTGATGACCAGAAGTCTTTCAATATAACAAAGGTTCAATTTATCTATAAATATGTTTTAAATTAACAAATAGAGAGGCTATATTATTATAGAATCATAATCTTTTATCTACCTGGAAACCAAGAAACTATATTAT